GCAATTCCTTCTTCTTTACACCATACGGTAGCCTTAAGATTTCTAATATTGTGACAACTTTTTGCCAATGCATTAAAGACTTGGGTTTTTTGGACTTTTGGGGGTTCATCAACATCCCAATTATATGTACAATTTAGATATGACAATCTATTAAAGATAGAAGAGTAATCAAGAAGCTGAGGGAGAGCTCTATATGTTATCTGACTATTAAAGTTAAGGTGTAGGTGGCTAAGATCAAATCGACGTAACTTTACTAAATGCATTGGGAAAATTTTAAATAATTCAACTATCAGTACTTCAGAGTAGTTGTTTGCTATAGCTGAATTAAGAAATCGTTCAAATGGGAGCTCTTTGAGAAATGATGGATAATCATAAAGTGGTCTTTTAACTAAAGTACCAATATGAAAATCCTTAGCTTGTACAAATGTACGATAGATTTGAATCACTTGAGGAAATAGATTATATACATCATTAATTTTAAAAGGTGATTCCCATAAAATTGGTACGGCACAATTAGCCCAATATTTATTGACTAAAATGCAGGAATATAAATCTTTGTTGGTTGGAAGGTACCTAAAAATAATATTGAAATATTCAGGTACAAACATTTGATCTATGGTACCGGACTTAAGTATGATTTCATATTTCTCTTGATCGATTAACCTCTTTTTTTTAACGTTGTCTTTTAATGCTCCAAAAAGAATAAAAAAGAAAAAAAGAGAAATACGATGCAAGAAATCTATAAACGAATCTGTATTCATGATAAAATTCAATATTAACACGGATAAAATGATTCGAACGAAGCTATAAAAGATGCAAACTGACTTTTATATAGAATGAGATAATATTTATATAAGGTTTAGTACCACATATACTATTACTAGTACTATTAAATTCGATACATGTCATTTTTGGTTTTGGTGTATTATTTACACACAGATTGGGATTTTATATTTTTCGGGTGCTGTTTCACCGAGAATCACTAACATCTTATTTGGCCGACATCACATATCGTTAGATTTAGCATTTTATTAGTTGCATGTATATATTTTTAGGAATTGTCTCTTGGCGTGAAGTCGGCTAGATGAGAAATGATTTTTAGTGGAACCAGATTTTCGTGCACTTTATGTTGATAATAAGGAAATATTAAGTTTATTATCGTTATGTGTAACATAACACGGCACCCAAATATGTAAGATCCCAACCTAAATATTTCGCTGTGTTGGGGTTTTGATGCGGTTTTGTTTTGATTTTTATGTTACACGTCACCTTAGAAGTAATTTAACATCTCTTTATTAATTTGCTAAATTTGGGATGTGTAAACTCATATTGAATTAACTTTAGGGTTAGGGGATTAGGTATAGAGGGGTTTTTAGAAGGTGAGATCTCCGACCATTTCCGACCAGTCATGAGGTAATAAAGATAATTTAAGGTACAGATTTTTTATCTCTTGATTTTTTTATTAATTAATATACTGCACGCACATATACAAGTTTCGCTTTATAATTATTAGCATACCAACCAAATCGACGAATTCCTTTTTATTTTGATCCATCATATCTGTAGAATTAAAACAAAAAAAAATTCATTGATTTTTGTTAGGTGGTTGATGAGATATCTTCGTTCAAAGTTTACAAAAACTTTGCTATGACTGTTATTTTGATAGGCGTTTTAAATGCTTCAAAACATATCTCATCAACCACCCAACCAAAATCGAATTCGACAGTTCTGTGGTTGAGTGGTTTACGATATATTTTCGCTCAAAGTCTTAAAAAATTTAAATTTTTATAAATATCGCTATTAGGAATGAGAGCCGATCACGTGACTCGGCTTGAAGGACGCTGATTTTTTTAGATTATAAGTAAATTTTTTTAAAAATTTTGGAAATTTTTGGATTTGGCCTGCATTAAGAAATTAAATTTCATAATTCGTCCACGTCATGTGATTCACGTGACTTTGAATTATTGTCCAAAATTTCGCCATTTAAAAATTCTCGAAACTTTGAAATTTATAAACACAACCAATCAGATTAGGCGAGACAAATTTAATTCAGTGGTTTACGTTACATCCTACTCACAAAAAAAGAGGGGGGGGAGAGGGCTGGAGGGAGTTTATTATAAATTTTTTCTCCGAAATGATCCGCGATATTATAAAAATTTTCTGAAATTTTCCGCGTATATAGTGAGGGGGAAGGCGGGAGAGGGGGGTAACGTAAACCACTGAATCAAATTGGTCTCGCCTTAATAGAAATTAATAGACAACGTGACCTGTAACCAATCAAACCGCTAAAATCATGCATAAAATATTTTGACATTCCTCAAAATTTATTCCCACTATGCCATATATAGCAATGTCCCCTTTAGTACATTTTCCGTTTATGGCATTTATGACCTATATGACCATATTACCTTTATGACCTATCTGACCCTTAGGACCTATAGTCCCTATAGCGCTTAAGTGTCATCTAAAAAACTTGTAATTACTTGGCCTGTAAAAAAGTATAAAAGCGAAGCTTATTTTGCCTGAAATAAAGACAGAACTCACTTGAGTAAAACTTCGAAACAATACTGCAATAACAGTAGAAGTACTCCTGTAGTTTTTTACTTATCTTTCATAATAAATCGTCTAATTATAAAATAAACCGCTACTTCGTTGTATAAACCAAATAGAGTTTAACCTTCGAAATCCAAGTAGAAGTGTTGACTCTAAGTTCCCTGTTGATCCAAAACCTTGTCCCCGAATTCTTCTTGTTCTCATAGAGAAAATAAGAAAGAGAAATCGAATAATAGTTAGAATCCCTTATTAACATATCAATATTGCAGTATACCAGTACGATCACGTTTCTTGTGCAGCATGAAATGTGGTAGGGATGGTTTCCTTCAACTTTTTTGATGTCGCTTATGCTGATTTTTAAAGAATCCTTTTTTAG